AGCAGATCCTAATGTGATAGAACACCTGTAGGCAAAATTGGAGGTAGACATTAGAAAACACGAAATTTCTAGCTAAGAATACTTTAAAAAATATCTCCTCGAAGAATGGAATAGACTAAGCCTGGAATCACCAAACAAATTGGTCGAATCCATCGCAGACTGAAAGGTGTGATAGACTATTAATACTAATGATGAATTTACTTATTCCTATTGATTTAAATAACACTTAAAGGAAATGAAAATTATGAACAAGAAATTAAATTTATAAGAAAACAATGAAAATACAATTAACTTTAATTATCAAAGAAAGCAATAATAAATCCTTCATTTCCTTTAACTGTTATTTAAATCAATAGGAATAAGTAAATTCATCATTAGTATTAATCACTTAATATTAATTATCAAAGAAAGCAATAATAAATTATTATAGAACTAAACATTAACTTAGAAAATTAACATTAACCAATCACAAATATTTAAAAAAAAAAAACGTATATGCACATCATCAGCTGATTGAAAGGTTGTGCTCTCAACTGGTCTCTCAGTATTTGCCTATTTTTCGATATTAACCGACTAAGAAGGTTCATACCTCGAAAGGTTATGAGGTTAATTAATATATGTTTTTCAACCCATAGGTTCCGAGTTCGTAGCTCACTCCGCGCCACGCTGTTTAATTTTTTGAATTTGAAGTATCTAACAGAGACCAAAGCAGATTTTCACATTTATCAGTTGCTGCAGGAGCGAACTTTAAGAGTAATTCCAAGAAACCTACATCCCTTAAGTATTCACTACTCAAGTATTCAGCACCTTGGAGGCAAGCCATTATTTTCTATCACACCTTTCAGTCTGCGATGGATTCGACCAATTTGTTTGGTGATTCCAGGCTTAGTCTATTCCATTCTTCGAGGAGATATTTTTTAAAGTATTCTTAGCTAGAAATTTCGTTTTTTTTTAATTAAAAAAAAAAATTTCGTTTTTTTTTAATTAAAATTTTTAGCTAGAAATTTTCTAATGTCTACCTCCAATTTTGCCTACAGGTGTTCTATCACATTAGGATCTGCTGACTGTGGTGATGTTTTTATAATTTTGGGGCAATTATAAAGTAGGCATTCCTTAACAAGCATGGCAGAATGTTTGGAGTCATTACCCTGACCAAAACAAAATTTGTTTTTTAGTCCAAATTGTTTTCAAGTTTCTTCCCAAAATGTCTATGTAAACATATTTATTCACTGTACCATGTGAATATTTCCTACACCAAAAGTAGCCATACATCCCCACACCAAGAAACATAACATAAGAAAACAACATAAACCATAATACCAGAACAAGATAAATAACATAAGAAAATAACACTTTACTAGGATGTTTATTGATTACAATAAATTATTGTTTTTAATGCAATATAAATTGATCTATTTATTCATTCAATAATTTCTATCAATATCCAGGTGTATCGTTTTGGCTGTGAGCCACTGTAAGTTTTGTTACAGTTTTTACATTCTATTTTATAAATGATATTTTGTTTGTCTAATTTTTCTATTTTTTCCTTCATATTTGTTAAATGATTTTCCAATTTCTTTTATTATATAGCATTTCCAAGTCAATTTCAACCTTTTCCAAGTCAAATTAAACCTTTTCCATTTCAAATTCAACCTTTTCCGAGTCAAATTCAACCTTTTCCATTTCAAATTTTTGTAAATTTTCGATTTTTTTCGAAATGAAGGCCACGTACTATATTATCGAAGGCATAGCTTTTGAAAAATACAAAAAAAAATTTGATAACGCGGTTGCATATTCATTTACTTTAACATTTTAGATTTTTTCAGTGTAATATTTCAATGTCATATTCAATTATTTCCAAGTCAAATTCAACCTTTTCCAAGTCAAATTCAATTTTTCCAGATCAAATTAAACTTTTTCCAAGTCAAATTCAACCATTTCCATTTCAAATTAAACCTTTTCCTATTCAAATTCAACCGTTTTCATTTCAAATTAATGTTTTAATTTTTTGTAAATTTTATATATTTTTTAAAATAATGGCCATCCCCTCCCCCACTCCAGTATGAAAGTCTATTATTATGCTCTCCTAAGTAGAATTTTCACTTACGAATATCGATTTATTGTACCTATTCGAATTTATTAGGGACTGTAATTATGCTGTCCTGTACCTAATTTTTAAAATAACCTCCATTTTAAGATTACGCCACAGTATTTTGACTTATTTAAGTTTTTTGAATTCATCCAATATAAAGGTCTACTTTTATGTTTCCGGAGCCGTAGATTTTGAAAACGCCCTCCAATTTATGATTAGCCCAACGCGTTTCGATTTCTTTAAGTGTTTTGAATTTTTTTCATAAAAGGGTGTATTCTTATGTTTCCGGAGCCGTAGATTTTGAAAACGACCTCCATTTTAAGATTGGGCCACCGCGTTTCGATTTCTTTTGAGTTTTTAGGATTTTTTTCATATGAGGGTGTATTCTTATGTTTCCGGAGCCGTAGATTTTGAAAACAACCTCCATTTTAAGATTAGGCCACCGCGTTTCGATTTATTTGAGTTTTTCCATAAAAAGGTGTATTCTTATGTTTCCAGAGCCGTAGATTTTGAAAACGCCCTCCATTTTAAGATTAAGCCACCGCATTTCGATTTCTTTAAGTGTTTCGAATTTTTATCATAAAAGAGCGTATTCTTATGTTCCCGGAGTCGTAGATTTTGAAAATGACCTCCATTTTAAGATTATGCCTCTGCGGTTCGACTTATTCAAGTTTTTCGAATTTATCCAATTTAAAGGTCTACTTTTATGATGCCAGAGCCTTAGTTTTTAAAACGACTTACATTTTAAGATTAGGCCACTGTGTTTCGGTTTTTTTTTAAGTGTTTTTGATTTTTCCTTCGAATAAAAAACAAAATACGAAGGATTAATTTATTTTTCAATAAATAAATAAAAATATCTAATCGAAATAAATAAAATATGTATTGTCTCATTTGTAATTTAATTTTAGTTATCTTTTTTAATGTTGTGGTCTCCTGTAACAAAATTATAAGATTTCGAACAATTAGCTGAAAAATCTGAATACGGTAGGTTAAATTTATTACCAGTTGCTTTTCGGCTTTTTAGTTTGTATTCTGTGGTTAATTTAACTTTAGCTTCATAATATTTATTTATTTATTTGCTCATACTCGAAAACATATTGATGAAACTTTGTATTGAAAAAATCCAAAATGAAGCCTAATTAATCGAGACGCTTAATCATAAAATGGAGATTAAATATTAGATAAATTTAAATATTAAAGATTAGAAAAATTTCAATACGTCTCCGATAACATATAAGTAGATCCTTATACCGAAAAAGTAAAAAAAAACTTTTATAATCCAAAACACAGTGGCATAAACTTGAAATGGGGTCATTTACAAAATGGGGGAAATCTACTGCTCCAGAAACATAAAAGTAGACCTTTATATTTGATAAATTCGAAAAACTTAAATAAGTTGAAACGCAGTGGCGTAATCATAAAATAGAGGTCGTTTTCAAAATCTACGGCTCCGGAAACATAAGAATACACCTTATATGAAAAAAATTCGAAAAACTTAAATAAGTCGAAACGCAGTGGCGTAATCTTAAAATGGAGGCATTTTCAAAATATACGGCTCCGGAAACATAAGAATACACCCTCATATGAAAAAAATCCGAAAAACTTAAATAAGTCGAAACGCGGTGGCCTAATCTTAAAATGGAGGTCGTTTTCAAAATCTACGGCTCCGGAAACATAAAAGTAGACCTTTATATTGATAAATTCTAAAAACTTAAATAAGTCAAACACAGTGGCGTAAACATAAAATGGATGTCATTTTCAAAATTTACGGATCGGGAAACATAAAAATACACCCTTATATCGAATAAATCAAAAAACTTAAATAATTCGAAACGCAGTCACGTAATCTTAAAATGGAGGTTATTTTCAAAAACTACTCATACAATAACAGACCCACACATCGAAAAATTAAAGATAATTAAATAAATAAAAAAATGTTGAATTTGAAATGGAACAGGTTTAATTTGAAATGGAAAAGGTTGAATTTGATTTGGAAAAAGTTGAATTTGACTTGGAAAAGATTGAAATTGACTTGGAAATGCTATATATTCCTAGTTTCATATCATGGTGATCATATATCATGAGTGCTTCTATATATGATTGATTATATTTTACCAATTTGAGGGGTTTTTGGGCTAAAGCCCTTTCCCTCCCTCATAGATTCGCCTGTGAGAGGTGGAGGGTCTGACCAAGACTTCTTCATAGGCCGTTTCATACCACTTAACCAAATGTTACTTCCTTGATATTCTTTTATTCAGCAGCCATTTTTTCAAGTAGCATAATCCGACTGACAGATTCTCATTTTTAAAAATATAAATGTTATATATATGCAAAAAAATGCTTTCGAAATTTTCTTCATACGTCAATTTATTTTTGCACAGGCTCACAGACTATAAATCTTATTAAACAAGGAAATCTTTCTAAAAGTGAGTTATCAGTAGTAAAGTTGAAGGATGATAACATAAACCGCATATCAATCATGATTTTTTTTTAAAACTAGAACTTAGCTTAGTTTATCCGCTCAAAAGTCTCATTTAAAAAGTTTTAGCAATAATCATCTACTTTTATTTGAAGTGAATTTTGTCTAGTTTGCTGTGAATACACCATGAGTATATATACACATATATATACTACATACAGTATATTAGACATTGTACGCATTTTGACAATGACATCATCTCGCTCAAAAAAATTAAATTTGTTTCTTAAGCTATTTTATATTCAGTAATATTTGAGTTTTATTTCATCCAATATGTCTCTAATTCAGTTTCTTTATTAAATAAGCTAAAATTAATTATCCTCATAATGTTGGTACTTTTTTTGTAGTACTTACAAGCAGCAATTGCCTGTGTCCCGGTCCTAAGGCCGGCATTGACTATATGTGTGTTGTTCAGACAACTAGATAAGATAAGGATTAAATAAAGCAATTTAATTTAAAATTTACAAATTAGTTATAATAAATATTCAACATTTATTTGTACACATAAAATAGCAAGTTATCCAAATAAAATAATGAATGAAAATAAATGATTGAAGTAATATCACATTAAATTGAACATTCATCAGATGGCCAGACCAAAATATTATATTACTCCCCTAATAATGATAATGAACTGATACAAATCCCAAACTACAAATAGTTAACTTATATCAAATTTCATAAATGTTTGGTTTAGTACCTTATATACATGATGTAATGATTTTTTATTTTTTTAAAAAGAAATAAATAATATCAATAATAATTTTGGCCACATTTTAAAGCACATAACATAACATAAACATATATATATTAACATATTTTCATTATATAGAAACAATTTAAAAAAAAATATATATATAAATATAAAAATAAATGATAAATTAATATTTTTTTCCCCAACATCATAATATAAGGAAGACTAGGCTTAACTAAGGCATATAATGTGCAGATAAGAACTTTGATCAATAATATAAACATAACAAAGTGCACTGTCACACTATCATAAACTATGAAAATGAAATTACTTCATAGAACAAAATATACAAATTTTTGATTAACATTATATATGACTAGGTAAACGAAAAGAAAAAAAAATGGTAAAAAGTACAATATTTTTGTTTAGGTCTTGAAAAGTTCCAAACATATATATTTTTTTAATATAATTTTTCTTTTCTATCATTTAACACATTTTACAATAAGTACAAAAAAAAATTAAGATCAGTGTGACCAAAAGTCAGTTAAGCATTAAATTAAAGTGGCTAATACAATAAAAATATTAACAAAAGAAATAAAAATATTACAAAACCTTCTAGTAATTAAATTAGAATTTTAATAACTAAGGGAAGTAAAATGTTAAGGAAATTTTTAAAACATAAAAAATTTATGTTACATCTGTACTTAAAAACACAATTAAAGCAAAGTAAAAATATAAATGTAACTGTTAATATACCTATAAGGAATGAAGTCATTAAAAAGTCATTGTCTATCCACAGCTGAATTGAATAACTTGTAAGCCATTTACAAAAGTATGTCATTGAACAGAATATATAAACCTTATAAATAAATAAATAAATTGTAGAAGGAACAATACATTTTAAGATGGAATGAATATTATCAGAGCATAAATGGACGATTAATGCTCTACTTAAAATCCTTTAAAAATTAAACAATATTGCTAATTAACAACTATGCTCACTAAAGTATCATTAATTTTATTGTTAATGCATGAACCTATATTCAGTAAAAATACAGTCTCTATTAGCTAGTAAAATTTGAATATTAATAATAACTTGAAACAAAGAATTTTTTGATATAAGAAAACTAAATAAAAAACAAATCAAAGTTTCCTAACATATATCTCCTATGTGAGAAATGGGCCTAATAACAAAAGAGAATAAATGAATTTAAAAAAAAAAAACCATACTTTTGTAAACAGACTTATAGTATAGTTTCTTAATGTTTGAATGTTAAAAAATACAAATAATATAATACAAGATATAGGCTTAAATTCCTTTCTTTCTCATTTTTGTAGATTAAAATATCAATAAAAATAATTATCACTAGGTTATCTTTCACATTAGATTTATAAAACCCATCAAATCTATACTTATAGCATACAGGCAAACAACTTAAGGAAACCCTTAAGATGGGCAGAGCTAAGACTGGGAGACTGTTCAAATTTTGTGAAATATACTATCTTGAATTTTCTTTGACATTTTGATTTGTTATACATTCTTTCATCAATTAAGTACACTAATTTGTAAGTTGTTCGTTATTTCTATAAGAAAAAAGTTACAAGGGCACTAAAATGGCTTCTCATAAGATGTTTTGCTGTACAATATATATATATATATATATATATATATATATATATATATATACATATATATATTTTTACAACTTTTATATATATCTTATATATATACATATAAACATCTTATGGGAAGCCATTTATTATTCTTGTAACATATATATATATATATATATATATATATATATATATATATATATATATATATATATATATGTTAAATAATGTTGAAAGTTTGTGATTTACAGATATACACGAATATTAATTTTTCATCAATTAATACATCCATTGGTAGAAAAGGTATGAAATTTCTTTCATAAATTTAGTGTTAAGTAGAAGCATAAGAAAACCTAATTACAGATTTGAACCGTAAATAATAATTGCAATTGCATGGTTAGTTAATTAAACATACATCAAAATTGGGCAAAATTAATTCAAAAATAAATTAAATTGAAATTGAAAATAAAGGAATAACATATTTTCAAAAACATGAATCAAATCTCATCAATTGTTCATATAAAAAATTTTAAACACTTATTCAAATATCATTATATCATGGTCAAAGCAAAATTTCATGTGTAATCATAATTACAAAACAATAGTAACAGCTGAATAAGAATGATTTATAAATCAAAATGCAATGAGAACACTGGTTGATATTTCCACATATAATACAATTAAACCACGCAAATTATTGTTTAAATGTAGGCATTTATGTGTATATATACATAGATACATATATACATAAATATGTACAGGGGAGTAAAATAAGTAGAGGAAAATATTTAAGGTTGATAGTAGACATCAAGATCTATAAAAAAAGTTCATATAAACAACTGTCTAATTTCCAGCAGAAAAGTAGAAAGCTTAATATTTGTGTTCTTTTAAGTCATGTTTTTGTTGAATAGGAAGCGATAACTAAAAAATATATGATTTAAGTAATTAAACATGGCTCCATAGTAAACTAGACAAAATTTACTACAAACAAATGAAGAGTTTTTCATTGTTAAAATCATTTAGGGAGGACTATCGAGCGGACCAACTCAGCTAAGTTTCGTTAAAAAAAAGTCTTAAATTATTTGTGATTTTTTTTTTTTATCACCGTTTACCTATACTATAGTTAACCCACTTTCAGAAAAACTTCCTCGTTTAATAAGCTTTAAGTCCATATTAATTAGGTTGAGGTTTATTAGCAAAAATTTTGAGATTCACCTCAAGTTGTCTAAAGAAATGATGTGATTTTCTATTGTGACCTAAAAGTATAATTAACTGTTGAAAAGCTTTTATTTCTTGTTTTTCCATGAATTGGAATTTATTATAATAAAACATAATTGTCTAAATACAAACTTTATTCATTAAAAAAAAAATTATAAATAATGATTTTTTAAATATTTTTATTGTAACGTGGTTAAATAACTGTGTTTTTCATGAAAACTTAAATATTAGGGCTAGAGTTTGTCACTTATAGATACGGATCAATTCCTATGACAGAGATCTGGGAGAAAAACACAGTTCCATAACAACTTTATATGAAAAATCATTATTTTCAATTTTTTCTTTTTTATAAATAAAAAGGTTATTTAGGCAATTACGCTTCTTACAATACACCCCACATCACGGAAAAACAAGAAATAAACATTGCAAGTCATTTTTGTTGAAAATATGGGTACTTTTAGGCGACTAGATAGAAAATCACATCATTTTTTTATACAACTTGAGGTAAATATCAAATTTTTTCTTAATTAAATCTCAACTTAATTAATATGGACGTAAAGCTTATTAAATGAGGAAGTTTTTCTGAAAGTGGAATAATATAGTATAGTTAAAAAGCGATAAAAAAAAATCACAAATATAATACTTTTTTTAAACAAAACTTAGCTGAGTTTGTCCGCTCAATAGTCCTCTTTAAATGGTTTTAACTATGACAAACTCTACTTTTGTTTGAAGTAAATTTTGTCTAGTTTACTATGAAGCAATGTTTAATTACTTAAATCGAGTATTTGTTTAGTTATCACTTTCTATTTAACAAAAAACGTTACTCACTAAAAAAAAAACTTTAATTTCCTACTTTTCTGTTAGAAATTGGGCGGGCAATTGTTCATATGAACTTTTTTTTTTATCTTGATGTCTGCTATCAACCTTTTAAATATTTCCCTCTACTTACAGGAAACCCTGTATGAATATATATATATATATATATATATATATATACAAACACATTTATTTACTTATAAATAATGTCTTTAATAAAAATTCAATATGTTTTAAAACATAATAATTTAAATATTCAATAAAGAGAGCTTTACTAGACCACTGAGGAAGAGCTGATTAAGCAATAACAGGACTAACTGGCCACGTATGGCTCCTATTGCAAAAGGCATGAAGGGACCCAGATTTTAACTTTTAATATCTTATCTTTTTTTGAAAAGGTTTAAAAAAGACCCAACATAATAACGGTATAAATCCAAAAACAATGATAAATTGATGATCTCAAATTTGAAACTTTTTTTGTAAGGGACCATTTTACTGCTTAGGGACCCTACTTGTGTTGATCCATCCCTGCCACCTAGATATTTCTTTTAAAAGTAAAAAATTCCGATCAATGAATAGATTATTAATATAGTTCTATTATATTTCCAATTTTACTTCCTTAATGAATCCATCAATTTATCAACAAAATATATTATATTAAATAAAAAATGATATAGAGATAATTTCCATAATGGTTTAATTTTTAAAAAGATACTTTAATAATAACAACAAATATGTGACTTAAGATGAGATTATGTTGGTGTACCTAGTTAAAAAAAAAATCTAAAATAACTGAGTGTTATTTGGCTCATAAATATGAATAAGCAGAGCACCAAGCTAAGAAAATTAACTTTAGTACAGCCCATTAAAATTTGTTAGCGTGGTGAATTCAAATATTAAATAAAATTCAGTAACATAAATAAAAATTATGTTTATTTCTTTTCCAGTGTTTTCATTGTTTTTTTTTTTTTTTAGAAACCCATGAAACACTTAAACCAGCTAAGATTCGTCAGTCCAATATTAATAATGAAACTGTAAGTAACTTACACTAATTAAAAAAATAGAAAAATATACTTATTTGTAGGCACATATGGAAATAACTATGGCCAACCATGGTAGAAATATCCTTACATAAATATGTTTCTCGAGTACAAAAGGAAATCGATCAGTCATAAAAATATAAAAAATATATATAAATTTAAAATGTTTAAATGCCCAAGGAATGTGCTTCATAAAATTTGAATGAAAACCGATGAAGATAAAAAATCCAAAATTAAAAACATAAAAAAAATAAGTAGATAACATTTGTTAAAAATACTATAAATAATAACAAAAATAAAATATTCATCCCATACAAAAAAAAAATCCTTAACAAGTACAATCATGTTAATATATTTTTTAATAAAAAACTAAAATAAAAACCAAAACATGTTTTATAAAATTACTACTTAATTAGAAAACTGTCATATTCAAGGCCAAACTTTATTGAACAGATCCATAAATGACTCATATATCATAAATGTTATGGCAACATCAAGGCATACTCTAGATAAACGAGGAACTGTACCCTTGTAGAACCTGGAAATAAAAATAAAAATTAAAAGAATAAATTACTAAACTGCTTAGTATGATAAGGTGGCAGAACTAACTAATTTGTAATCCTTTATATATATATATATATATATATATATATATATATATATATATATATATATATAAATGAAAAGATAAAAATAATAAATAGAAGAAATAAACACTTATTTATAAAATATTTATGTAGAGCTAACTAAGTCAACATTTCATTGCAGTTGAATTATATCACATTTAATAAATACAGTATACGTTTACATAAAATACAACTGTGACATAAAATGGAGGGTGGGGGTTGTTCTAGAAGTACAACCAAATCTATTCTAACCAGGGAGGAAAGGTATACATTCATTCCATGGGTTTGCCACAAAATAAATTTCAACCCACGCAGGCGAGATTCGAACTAGCACTGCTACACTTGAGAAAGTCAAAGCAATCTACTTTCAGACAAGATAACACCAAACAACACAAATAGCAATATAACCATTGATTTATTGCTATTTTACTCGCCTCCTGCTCCCCCAAAATGTTAGAACCTTATTTACCTTATAAATATTTCAAAGATTTTTTATTCTATACATTACTTTTAATTTTAATCATACAATGTAGCCTCCTATTTACCTTGGTAACTAACCATTTCAAACTAACAAACAGAGAATGGTACTTAATCAAAGAGATTAGGACTTATTGTAAAAGTACCATGGAATGTAAATAACAAAACTGGGCAATACACTAACTTTTTGACTTTCCAAACACCAAAATCATAAATAAAATGAATGGACACAACTTTTATGCCAGAAAACTCATGGAGGAGACTAAAATATATATATACAGGGTGTTCCGTAAGTAGAACGTAAAAAAAATAAAAACCTATTATCAAGCATCACCAGTAGCCAATGAACGACTTTGAACAGTTGGAGTAGCAGCGGCTATAATCGTTTTAGATATATATGCTCGCAAGTGTAAATATATACAGGGTGTCCCATAAGTAAAGGGAAATATTTAAAAGGTTGATAGTAGAAATCAAGTTCCACAAAAAAGTTCATATAAACTATAGCCCTAAAAAATTTTTCAGCAGAAAAGTAGGAAATTCAAGATTTATGTTTTTTAAGCAAGTCAGGTTTTTTCTTGAATATGTAGCGATAACTAAAAAAATATTTGACTTAAGTAATTAAACATTGCTCCATAGTAAACTAGGCAAAATTTATTTCAAACAAAAGTAGAGTTTGTCATTGTTAAAAACATTTAAAGAGGACTGTTCCATTAAAAAAAAAGTGATGAATTATTTATAATTTTTTTTATCACCCTTGAACTGTACTACAGTAACTCCACTTTTAGAAAAACTTCCTCGTTTAATGAGCTCAAGTCCATATTAATTAAATTCAAGTTTATTAGGAAAATTTAGAGATTCACCTCAAGATGTGTAAAGAAATTGTGTTATTTTTTATCCAGTCACCTAAAAATGCCCGTGTTTTAAAAAAAATAACATCAATTAACTGTTGGAAAACTTTCAGTTCTTGTTTTTCCAGGATTTGGGGTGTATTGTAATAAACAGAATTGCCTAAGTTTATAAAAGTATTTAATAATAATAATAATAATAAGGCTTAGCGAACCCGAAGGTTCGATGCCGACACCACCAATCGTTTGTTACACACCTCCCTCCACCGTTCGCCATCCAAACCCAGTCCCTTCAGATCGGCTTTAATGCAATCTTCCCACCTTCGCTTCGGTCTACCCCTCGGACGCTTACCATTCGGCACAGCAAATATTAACCTTTTAGGAATTCTCTCGTTACTAAGCCCAACAACTTTACAAGCCCATTTGATTCGCCGCGATGAAATTACCTCAATTATATTACCCAGATACAGCTCACGCAATTCGGCGTTGTGTAACCGTCTGAACTCTCCGGATAACTCATCCTTCTTCGGTCCGAATATTCTACGCAATACTTTATTTTCAAAAACCTTAAGACGCTGCTAATCCCTTAATGTAAGCGGCCAAGTTTCGCATCCATAAAGGACTGTAGGCAAGATAATTGTTTTATAGATTTTAATTTTTAAGTTTCGGGACAAGAGGCGCGAACTAAGTAGTTTTGTCGCAGAAAAATAACAAGCATTTCCCACCTTCAGTCTAACCTTAATCTCTTCTTCAATTTCGTTTTTTCTAGTTATCGTAGAACCTAGATACCTAAATTTATCTACCTGTTCAAACATGTTACCATCTATATCGATATCACCAGAAGTATCGCCATTTTTGCAGCTAACCATATATTTTGTTTTATCCACGTTTATTTCGAGTCCTAGTTCTTTACCGCCTTTCATTAACGTTGTCGTATTTAGTTTTATAGTTTCAACATCTTCGCTTAACAGTACCAGATCATCAGCATAGCCCAGCACGGATGTTGTCCCACCCAGATCCAACCCTTTCTCGGTTCGCATTACCTCCCTAATGGCATGTTCTAATGCCAAATTGAACAGGACAGGCAAAAGAGAATCCCCCTGTTTTAAGCCCGAACGAACCTCAAATTTTTCGGACAAATTATTACCGATTCTAACTATATTGAATGTCTCCGTCAAGCACATCATGACTAGATTTACTAGTTTTTTAGGAATCCCCTGCTCGATTAGAATATTATACAGTTTCTGGCGGTCAATAGAATCCTAAGCCTTTTTAAAATCTATATACAGCTGGTGAACAATACCTTTATACTCCAATTTTTTCTCTAATATTTGCCATAAAGAAAATATTTGATCAATAGTCGAACGATTCCGTCTAAATCCGCATTGGTAGTCTCTGATAATTTCCTCAGCGTATTCCGTGATTCGACTGGTTAAGATTAAAGTGAATATTTTATAACATACCGGAAGGAGTGAAATTCCTCGATAGTTATTACAATCCGTCCTCGGACCCTTTTTGTGAATCGGAATAAGAATAGATTCTTTCCATTCTTCAGGTAATTTCTCGTTCACCCAGATCTTTTTAACCAACCGATGTATTTTAGAAACTCCAGCTTCCCCGCATGCCTTAATTAGTTCAGTAGGAATATTATCGATTCCCGCTGCTTTATATGATTTTAATTTTCCGATAGCTACTTCAACTTCCTCTTTACTTGGTCCTTCTATTAACGGTTCAGCACTCTGGTACTCAGAAGGAGGACACAGATCATAATTTCCCGTATTTAAAATATTGTCAAAGTGGTCCTTAAACTTATTCAATATGTCAACCGGATCGGTCAGAATATTGTTATTATCATCCCTAATTCCAGACGTTACGGGCCCTACATATTTACGTGATCTGTTTATACCTTTGTACATGTCTCTTACGTTATTTTCGATTCTATTAGTTTCTATTTCAATTATTTTATTTTTAAGATACTCCCTTTTTTTATTTTTGAGCAATTTTGTCTTTTCGTTCTTTGAGATTCGGAAGTATTCCAGATTGTCTTCGCTAGGATTATTTAGAGCTTTTAATTTAGCGGCTTTTCTTTTTTCACACATCGTTAAGCAATCTTCATCAAACCACGGTTTGTTATTCTTTTCATTTTTTCCTAGACACGAGTTACCGACCACTTTAATATTATCCCTGATCTCTACCCATAACTTGTCAATATCCTCATGGTCCTCGTCAGGAAGCTCTAAAGCTTCAAACCTATTCTTAACATCTAGCTCGAATTGGTTTCTAATTGATGGATTTTTTAATTTTTCCAAATTAAAATTCTCAAAATCGAAACGGTTTTCTTTTCACTTTTTTATATTAAGTTTTTGTCGAAGTTTCGCGATCACTAATTCATGGTCCGACCCACATTCTGCTCCGCGATAAGACCGTACATTAATTATACTGCTTTGCCAGCTGTGTTGTATCAAAACATGATCGATTTGATTTCGTGTTTGCGAATCCGGTGATGTCCAAGTATATTTATGAATATCCTTATGTTTAAACGGCGTACTTTTAATTATCAGGTTTTTCGAGATGGCAAAGTTTATCAGACGGATCCCATTATCATTACTATATTCGTGCAAACTTTCTTTACCAATCGGCGGAGTATAAACTTCTTCCCTACCTACCTTTGCGTTCGCGTCACCTACAATTATTTTCATGTAGCTTCGCGGTAGTTTATCATAAACCCATTCGAGTTTATCGTAAAATTCACTTTTGACTTCATCGTCACTGTCTTCGGTCGGACAATGTATGTTTATTAATGCGATTTTAAACCAACGTCCCTGAAATATAGCTACCGAAATTCTATCACTAAAGAATTATACGTCCCTCAAAGCGGATAGCAATTTATTCCTAATTAGAAGCCCGGTACCTAAACAATGATTCTCGCTTCCTCCGTACCAAATAGTGTACTTTCCTTCCCTCATCGAGCCCTCCCCTGGCCAGCGAACCTCTTGCAGAGCCACGACATGCAAATTGTACCCATTTACCTCATTCGCGACCGATTTTAGCCTCCTTGCTGTGTTTAAACTCCTTACGTTCCACGTACCAATATTTAAATCCCTATATTTCAACTTGCGCCATGAATCCCCTAAATCAGTCCCCACCCGGAGACCCGAACGGGGGACTAGTTTACCTCCGGATAATGAGCGTTTTAACCTTAGGGAGATCCATGACTATTTGTGGTGTTAGGTGAACTAAAGATATGTGAGTAGGGCGTTCAATCCTACGTCACACCCTCCAGCAAGTCTGGAGGGCCCCTCTCACGGGCGAGTCCATATGAAGTTGGTCAGCGAGTCCATCGGGCTTAGCCGGGAGGAACTTCCAAGGAATTTCCACCGACCATCCCCACATCCGCCACCCGTGGGACGCTCCCCATACGCGGTAATGAGCCAGCGCGAGGCAAATAAAAACTATAATGTTGAAAATAGTATTTTTAATTACCGCCTGTATTTTTATTTTATTAAAAATTAGTGTTTATAATATAGTATTTAACACTTAATAAAACACAAATCTTAAATTTCCTACTTTTCTGCTAGAAATTGGACAATTGTTCGTATGAAGTTTTTTGTGGATTTGATGTCTGCTATCAACCTTATAAATATTTCCCTCTACTTATGGGACACCCTGTATTTATAAGTGTATATCGCAAGGCTTTGAAAGTTTGAAATACCAAGATTTTGTATAACTTGAAAGCAATGGTCAATATTTAGCTCGCCAAAAGAAAAAAAGTTAGCAGGCTGGTACCAGCTTTATTTTTTAGAAAATTTTATTATCTTTCTAATTGATACCAGTGATTTTTCTCTAGAATGCATAGTTTCAGAGTTGCAAACAAAAAACTGAAACAACTTGGGATCACAAGTTGGGCACGATGATTAATTCTCTATTATGAAACGGGTTAAGTAGGCCCTGAAGCAACCATGCTCTGTAAGCAGTTGGGTGAGGTAATAATCCCCCTCCCCATGTTTCCGGGATATTCATGTTGATAAATCGGGAATCAGATGGTGGGTCTATTTTCCAGAAGATGAGGTGTTCCTGCGTATCTACCATCTTTTAAGAGTGTGATTTCTCTTGTCTTTTGCTAAAGTAGTCCACCCAGTGAGAATCTGGCTCTTCTCGTTTTCTTCAGATATTCGACTGTGTTCATCTGCCGAAAGATCGATCGGAGGCATATCTGTGATGACGCACACAGCATTGTAGGACACAGTGCGAAAAGCTCGAGCTACGCACAGGGCACTTCTTCACTTCAATGCACAGTGATAGCTTTATAGACATGTGACTGCACCTGGCAGGATTCCGGCCAAATCAGTGCTGCCTACAAAAGCATGGAACTCGCTACATTAGCCAGAAGCTTTCTCTGATTTTCCCTTGGACCACCAATATTTGGCATAATCATGGCAAATTCATTAATTACATGTGCTTCTCTAGTGCTAACTTTGTGCAAGTGTTCGTCAAATATAAATCAGGCGTCAATCTGCACTATGGGATATCTAATCGATGGCTTACATAAGATATCAAGTTTCCTGACAGTAACACTGAATGTCTCTCAATTTCCTATTAGTTATTAATACTCTCTCAGTTTTATGATCAGCAAACTGGAGGCCTGCCGCTGAAAGCTATTGACAACTGGTGAGGACTGCCTTGTTCGTATTATAAGTTATCTCTTCCAAGAGTATCCCACGAACTATGATAGCCAGATCGTCAGCAAAGCTGAGTATAACAGTTTCTTCTGGCAGGGGTAGCCTGTGCCCCATATCATACATAATATTCCACAGCAATGGCCCTAGAACTGAAACTTGAGGAACACTACCTGTGATCTTGTAACTTTTTAATCCAGCTTATGTATCATACCTTAAGATTCTATCGGTGAAATAATCCTCATAAGGTATTGTCTGTGGGACTTCCATTCTTCGCAATCCATCGTAGATATAGTAGTGCCAAGATGAATAAAAGCAGTCTTATCTTTCAACGTTATAATACTTTTTACCACCTCTTTCCTGCAATGGCTTCCTGAGCAGCTCTGATGGGGAAACTCAAACTTGGCAAATCTACCGTTGATGACCACCTCAAGGCGATTGGAAAGGTAAAAATCTGGTGCGGAACGCGCATCACACAATTTCACTTACCACCCTCTTCTTACCAGAAATAAGTATTCTCTGACAAAGGGGAAGTGAAATTATATTTTATTGTGGGTATTTTCATTTGTTTTAGTATCTTCATATATAAAAATTTTAATATTTATATTGCTTTAATCTATACAATTAAATATTAAATAATAACAACAATAGTATTTATGAAAATCCCATATGTATTGTAATGTAAATATTACATAGTGATTTTGAATAGTGGCGCGAAGGTGGTGACGTCACGAACCACTGACAGGAATGGACATAGAATGACAGATGGTAGGGGAAGCAAGTTCCATATGTTAGGAACAGCCAATGGAATGACAGATGGCCCCCACCATCTGTCATTCCATGTCCATTCCTGTCAGTGGTTCATGACGTCACCACTATTCAAAATCACTATGTAATATTTACATTACAGTATATGTACATAATATCAATGGAGTCTATATTAGATTAAGTATATGTTATGTATGGAAGCCTGTTCTATTCTTTCAGGTCTAATTCTAATCTTTGTGAGCTCGGGCGCGCTCGTACTGCTTTGATTCCTCCATTACAACTATTCTCTGTTACGATCTCTTATTTCTCCTTTAGTTAAATATCAAATTCTTTCATATTTTATATTTAACTATTTTTTATATCAAAATTCAATGGTAAATGGTTAATTGTTTCAAGTAAAAAACATTAAAGGTACTTTAGGGAAAGTTGATATTGAAAATTAGCCATTAAGCCCTGTTAGAGAACATCAATGAAAATAAAACCTACATTATATTAAAAACTGCTTAATTTTACACTGATGTAATGAATTTAATCAAAATCGTTAAAGCCATTTTCGAGAAAATCGTAAAAATATGTTAAATCGACAATATAAAGAGCCACTTTTGGTTAGCCAATTTTTACGAAAATGTTGCTGTAACATCTCAGGTACACAGAAACCTTAAATATCACTTTTGTATGACTTTTTGTTTTTGAGCTAGACTGTTAACACACACACAGACCATTTTGGGGGACTTGGTTATTTGGACTCAGAGGATTTCAAGATGTATATTTCTGTTGGAAACTGAGATTTGGAAATTTTCAAGATAGCAATACTTTCCTTTACTATATTGTAATTTACACCTTAATTGAAAAAATGATTTAATAAATTAATGTAACAGTTAAAAAGCAAGCTAATCTAGTTTCACTAGTTCAGGGAAAAGAAAATGACTGCTCTGTAGTTTCCCCAGAAAGGAAACTCACAAAAGAGGAGAGAGAACAAAGGATTTTGTTTTGGAAGCAGTTGGTGTTTGGCTGGGGTGAAGAAAGGATGGGAGAAGGGATCCAGGGCCCAGTGGGTAAAACCCAGTAGTAGTATTACTTTCTTGAAAGTTGTTTGGCAGAGAGATTAGTTGTTTGGAATCACAACACAGAGGATATCCCAGGGAGTTAGAGTTGAGTAGATGAAAGTGTCACCATTTTGGAAGATGTGTTTGGCAGAACATAAGAAAATGTTAAAAGACAAATGAATTTAGTGCAACAAAGGAAGAAACAGTATATATAGAAAAAAGGTTAGCTTGCCAATCCATACTTGACTTTATTTTAAAATCAAACAGTGTTTAGTGTAGTTAATGTTAGTCTGAGTCTTTTGATCTGATTGTCAGTAACCCACACCTGAGATAAATAAATATATTAATGCTCTTATAATTTTGTTTATTATTTAATAACCTCTTATTTATTTTGGAAATATCCCAACAGTAAAAAGTGAGCTTCCACGAGGTTATATATTACTTGTTTAAAAATATAAGAGAGATGTTACAATATATTTCATATATAGGTAAGTGAAAGTAAAAAATAAACATGAAAACATGAAAGTTGGGTTCCAAACACATTAAACAACCACCATTTTGTTGCATGACAACACCCGGCTACATATCCCATGTGTGACACCGCAAAAACTGTAGGAGCTTGGATATGAAACTCTGCCAAATCCACCATACTCTCCGGACCTCTCACCTACGGATTATCATTTTTTTAGACACCTGGACTAATACTTACTAGACAAAAAATTTAATGGACAAAGGGAATTAGAAAATTTGTTTTGGAGTTTATCAATTCTAAACATGGGAAATTCTATTACGAGGGAATGTAAAAGTTGCCAACACGTTGGCAGAAATGTATTGATAGTAGTGGAGACTATTTTGATTAAATAAAACAGTTGTAAATCTTTCTTTTTTTCTTTTTAAACCAAAATCCTGCATTATTTTCTTGACAACCCTATAGTTCATCTGTCTGCCACACCTATAGCGTCCTATTAGTTCTCCTACCCGCTACCTTGTACTGCCACACGTGCCCGCTCACTCATTGTACATAGAATTGTAATTTTATTTCTTATTATTTTTATGTGAAAAACTACAGTTCTAAATTGTAAATATGTATATAAATTATGAATGCTTTTTGAATAATAAAGTTTTATGGTAATAAAATATACTGATCAAAGCTTTAAAATAACAATAACTGTAAAGACTCTTGCTAGCTCATGGCAGAATGATTACCAACAGTCCTCAGATTGCTAATTCAGATCTTGTATCTCCTTCCTTCGGGAAGTAATAGTATCCATTACAGATTAATAGTTCAGATACAGATTAATCAGTATATTTTATATACTTTTTGGGGTTCTATATCAATCTGACTCTTATTAACCTACATGCTCCTTTAACCCTATATCCTTCTCTCTCTCATCCTTGTCATACAAGGTGTGGATGCTCATCTATCCGCTTGTACTCCACCATACTAAGTCTGGAGGCTCATCCCTCCGTTAGTATTTCTTCCTCTCACAAAGTCTGGAGGCTGATACCTTTGTTTGTGTTGTCCATCCAGCAATGTCTTAAGGCTCATCCCTTAGCTCGATAGTGATGTACATGCTCATTCGCCTGACACTTAAGGTCATCCTGTTTTAGTCTTTTCCTCATCAAATGAGTTACTTTTTCTTAATTGAACACGCTCTATTGAGGCTTTCTGTTCTCTCTATTTACCCACCTCGACATACTTTTCTAACAACCCAGTATATGTGAAGAATGTCTTAATTATTTAAAGTCTAATTTTATGATATTTAGAGTATACTTACGCAGTAAAACCCTCTTGTTTCCATATTTTGGAAAAACAATCAAAGGTATTTTTGTACTTAGATGCTTCTAAACCTTGCATTCTAGTTTTAACGACATCAATAGGAGTATTACCAAACACTGAAGCAGCACCAGCAATAGCACCAAATGCACCTATTATCTATAACAAGGTGATATAAATATTAATCTTTAAAGAATTATCAATGATATATGTTTCATTAAAAAAAAAAAATTAATAAGCTTTATATATGTTGTTATATATTTACTACATAATTCAGTCATTGCTTCTATAATGATTATGATAATTTACAGAATTATGGGCTTTATGAGATTTAGTCGTTAAAGCCAGGTTTACAGAAAAATTTCCATGCTATTTTTTACTGAAACCAGTCATACTTAATATACTTACAGGACTTAATATAAAATGAAATAGAACAGATATTAAAACAATAAATTTTAAAATTTGTATAATTATGATAAAAATATTAAATTTAACTCGTTTTAATGATATTGACACGAAATTCACATTATGCAACTGTTAACGCCACAGCGTTAATTTATTTTATTTTTATTTTCAACATATTTGGTTACTTGTTATTTTGATTTGTCTCATAAAATGAAACCAATTAATAATTATATGTATATAATTCTTAGGCCCATAGCTTATTTTGTGTAAATTCAACAGGTCATTAGTTTATACTTAAATTGGTATCGATTGTAGCCCTAGCTATAAACAAGTGTTAGGTTCAAGTCATAAGGTGGTAGAATTGACAATAGATAGTCTGACTCCGCCCGTCACTGAGCTGGGTACTGCCTACTTCAACACTGGCCACTGCAGTTCTACTATGAAGAGACGTACTCTTCTCGTCATGCTCGCCACGGCCCATTTGCAGATTTAATTATATGAGCGCTCATATTGAACCTACGTTCAGTCGCTGAAGAAGGGTTGGAGTGCCAGCGGTTCGTCTATATCTACGACCGTCACCTGCTTGCGACCACGTAAACTTGTTCAACTTTTATTAATTTGTTTTCGTTCAGTTTTGTATAATTCCTAAATTAGGTTTAATGTATATTTGTTAATTTTTCCATAATCAAACATCCAACTATTTTATTAGATATTTCATAATTATTATTAACATTGTATTCATCTTATCATTATTTTCATTTTAGAAGTTATTAATTTATTTCATCTATTGATACCAATGTAAAATTGATTTCATTTTATTTTTTATGTTTTCATTATTAGTAGGTGTAAATGTTTCAAAATAAATGTTTCATAATACAGTCCACTTTTTTTTAAATTACAATAAATTTAATTTGAATAATAGTTACCTTCATTCGAAGTTGATTTAAACTAAGAGGGAGCTTAACAGCAACATTAACAGCTAGTTTAATATTGAGGAAAAGTATTGTAATATTAATTTTATTGATTTAAGATTAGTTTCAAAACTGCTTCACACATCATCCAGCCGGATCTTTATATTTCCATTTGCATCTCTTATATCCATAACAGGATCCATTCCTTTCCTTTGAATGATTTTCAAATCAAATAACTTACTAATAATAATTAATGAGGAAATGTACTCACATATTTCGGTATTTTCTTTTTAGAATCTCCATCAGTGTATGCGTTCTTCAGAGTTTCCATTACAAAAAATCTAATAGCTTGATTACTGCCTTGTTTCATCACTGTAGCAGTAACTCCTTGATACACTCCCTTGAATCCTGATAAAAATATCAATATTAATTTTTTTTATTCATGATTTTTACAACTAAACAACCCACAGGTAGCACTCTAAATTATTTACTATAAATCTCATTTTGACTCGGTGAAATACAGATTATTACACAAATAAGATAAAAACAAATTTCTCTCAACAAAATCCTCAATTCAATGAAAACAAAATAATCTTGTTTAAAGAAAGTTTAATATAAAACAAATAAATATTTATACCTTGATCTCTTACTATGGTGGTAACTCCATGGAAAAATCCTTTGAACCGTGGATTAGGAGACCGTTGGTCATTAATAAATTTAACTTTAACAGTTTCCATTGGAGTAACAGCAAAAATTGCTTCAGCAACTCCAGCACCCAAACCACATAGCACACGAGATTGAGGAGATAAATTTCCATTTTCATCTACTAAATAAGATTTAAAAGTTTCAAATGAACCAAACCTTAAAAGAAAAAAACAAAATAAATTAATAACAACAATGAAATGCATATATTGGTTAACACACTCAATACATAAAATTACTGAATAAAGGTGGATTGAGGCAGTGCTGCATTCTGTTTAATAATGTTGTTCTTCATTTCTCCACTTTTGAATTTTTTAAACTACTCAAAGCACTGTAATTTACCAAGGGCATGCTCACTGTAAGCTTTGATTAGTATTTGATGTGATTCTGCAGCAGTTTTCTTTAAATAGTAACAGAAAACTAATGGTGTTTGGAAATCATAATTTGCATGCAAAACCCAACATGTTCAACACTACTAAAATGATGGTGTTATATGAAAGTTTTATTGCTATGAGTTGAAAATCTTTGCTAACTGACGAAGAAACGAAGTGGACACAGAATTTCATGCTCTACAACTTTGATTCTATGAACTTTTCCTCTTAGTAAACTCATTATGAAGCTATAGGGTCATTTAGAGTAATTTGAGTCAGTTTTTAACAAAATTGGTAAAAATCAGTGTTCATAGACCATGGTTTTCTACTATACCACTTATTAAATTTATAATAATAATAATAAGGCTTAGCGAACCCGAAGGTTCGATGCCGACACCACCAATCGCTTGTTACACACCTCCCTCCACCGTTCGCCGTCCAAACCCAGTCCCTTCAGATCGGCTTTAATGCAATCTTCCCACCTTTGCTTCGGTCTACCCCTCGGACGCTTACCATTCGGCACAGCAAATATTAACCTTTTAGGAATTCTCTCGTTACTAAGCCCAACAACTTTACAAGCCCATTTGATTCGCCGCGATGAAATTACCTCAATTATATTACCCGGATACAGCTCACGCAATTCGGCGTTGTGTAACCGTCTGAACTCTCCGGTTAACTCATCCTTCTTCGGTCCGAATATTCTACACAATACTTTATTTTCAAAAACCTTAAGACGCTGCTCATCCCTTAATGTAAGCGGCCAATTTTCGCATCCATAAAGAACTGTAGGCAAGATAATTGTTTTATAGATTCTAATTTTTAAGTTCCGAAACAAGAGGCGCGAACTAAGTAGTTTTGTCACAGAAAAATAACAAGCATTTCCCGCCTTCAGTCTAACCTTAATCTCTTCTTCAATTTCATTTTTTCTAGTAATCGTAGAACCTAGATACCTAAATTTATCTACCTGTTCAAACATATTACCATCTATATCGATATCACCAGTAGTATCGCCATTTTTGCAGCTAACCATATATTTTGTTTTATCCATGTTTATTTTGAGTCCTAGTTCTTTACCGGCTTTCATTAACGTTGTCATATTTAGTTTTATAGTTTCAACGTCTTCGCTTAACAGTACCAGATCATCAGCATAGCCCAGCACGGATGTTGTCCCGCCCAGATCCAACCCTTTCTCGGTTCGCATAACCTCCCTAATGGCATGTTCTAATGCCAAATTGAACAGGACAGGCGAAAGAGAATCCCCCTGTTTTAAGCCCGAACGAACCTCAAATTTTTCGGACAAATTATTACTGATTCTAACTTTATTGAGTGTCTCCGTCAAGCACATCCTGACTAGATTTACTAGTTTTTTTGGAATCCTCTGCTCGATTAGAATATTATACAGTTTCTGGCGGTCAATAGAATCGTAAGCCTTTTTAAAATCTATATACAGCTGGTGAACAATACCGTTATACTCCAATTTTTTCTCTAATATTTGCCGTAAAGAAAATATTTGATCAATAGTCGAACGATTCTGTCTAAATCCGCATTGGTAGTCTCCAATAATTTCCTCGGCGTATTCCGTGATTCGACTGGTTAAGATTAAAGTGAATATCTTATTAAATTTATACTATACCAAATTATTAAGTTTAGATACTCGTTCGATGGAAAATTTAACTTTCTTTAATTTCTTAAAGAGTACATTTTTCGCTTTGATGCACTGTTTAGGTTAAAAAACAAGTTGTATGTGAGTTTTGTTAGGAGTTGTAAGTGAAAAAACAAAAAATATGGCTTTTTCGGCTCTAAAGTTTTCCCTTGCTTACTCGAGTTAAAATTTTTCGATTTTACATGTTCGAACCCATATAAATAAGTTTAAAAAATAACTTTTCCCACATTTTTCGTAATATATTTCCTGTTACGATCCTCAAGTTACTGTCCTAATATTCTTTAATTCAGCCGCCATTTTCGAAAGCAGCGGCTCTGGAATGGCAGACAAAGTTCATTTTACTTAGAATAACATATGCTTTCTTAATTTACATTCAAACCTCCGCCTGCGATGAGGTCAATTTTTGGGCCCTAGCTCCAGGGCTACTTGTTAAGATAAACCATCCTTCCTATTCTAAATACATAATAATGTTAAACTTAAATAAGCAAATATCTTCCAAATAAAGCTAACAAAAATACTAAATCAGAGAGACAAAACTATAGACAGATGGTCTAAGAACTGCTTGAAAAACTGCTGAGTTTCAATATGTCTCTGAAAATACACTTTTTCTCCACTTCTGTTAGGATTTTTCCCAGAAAATTATGGAGCTGTAAATGATAAGCATGCCATCAAGACATTTCCTCAATGGAACAGAAATATCAGCAGGCCAGGTCGGCTAGTCGGCGATCGCCGACAAAATTATTATTTTTAATTATTAAAAATTATTTTTAATTTTTAAAAATAAAATGTATTTTTAGGCAATTATGTTTATTACACTACACCATATAACACGGAAAAACAATAAATAAAAGCTTTGCAACAATTAATTTTAATCATTTTTGCTAAAAACACAGGTACTTTTAAGTGAATGGATAGAAAATCACATCATTTCTTTACACAACTTGAGGTGAATGTAAAATGTTTTTCTAATAAACCTCAACTTAATTAATATGGACTTTTTTTTTTGGAGAAAGGAAGTTTTTCTAAAAGTGGGGTAAATATAGTACAATTAAAGAGTGATAAAAAATTATCACAAATAATTTATGACTTTTTTTTAACAGAACTTAACTATGTTGGTCTGCTCAATATTCCTCTTTAAATTGTTTTTAAAATGGCAACCTCTACTTTTGTTTGAAGTAAATTTTGTTTAGTTTACTGAGGAGCAATGTTTAGTTACTTGAATAAAATATTTTTTATGTTATCGCTTCCTATTCCACAAAAAACGAGGCTCGCTTATAAAAACACAAATCTTACTTTAATTTCCTACATTTCTGCTGGAAATTAGGCAATTGTTTAAATTAACTTTTTTGTAGACCTTGATGTCTACTATCAACCTTTTAAATATTTCCTCTACTTACGGGACACCCTGTATATTCTTTTAGTACCCTAAAAATGATTATTTTATATTCGATTATTTCCCTAAATTTTTGGGGCCCCTACATATAAATGTTTTGTACTATTTTATGGCATTAGAATGATTAAGGATCCCCTTCTGAGGGTCCAAAGATCATTATTTTATATTTATCTGGTACAGTTGTATGTTTGGCCATAAAAACAATTGTTTTGTATTAGTTTATTTCCATGTATTTTTGTAACCCACCAATAGGGCTCCAACATAAATGTTTTTGTACTTTTTTATTGTTGTGGAATGATTGAGAGACCACTTCAGTGGGCCCAAAATATCGTTGTTTTGTATCGTTGCTTATTCCTCAATTTTTTTGGAGCTCCTCCGATGTGCTCCCAATATACTTTTTTATTGCTGTAAAATGATTGGGGGCCTCCTCTTATAGCCCTGCGTATCGTTAATTTGTATTTATAAGTGCCGTTATATGATTGTCTCCAAAAGCAATAGTTTTTATTAATTTATTTCTGCAAATTTTTGGAGCCCTTTTCGATTGCCTCTCACATAAATGTTTGTACTTTTAATTATATAAATGTTTTATACTTTTACTTACATAAATGTTATTTACTTGCCATAAAATGACTGGGGACCCCGGAGATCATTATTTCATATTTGTGGTATGTTTGGCCTAAAAATTTTGAGACAAAACATATTTGAAAAATGGATATACTGAGTAGATGATTAGATGAAATAAAGAATCAATATTCAGATTAAGAGACTATATGAGATTTATAAGGTAGGATTTATTGTGTACCATGGAGCAAAATGAAGGTGGTTGGGGTGTGGTGAAAAAATAAAATAAATACTAAGTAAAAGTTATTATAAATGTGTGCCAAGATTTCGGCCCCACATGTGGAAGTATAAAAGTATAGACATATATAAGTAAAACATATGTATTTTCATACTATTTTACTTGGCAGACTCCTTGTGTTTTTTCTGAAGTCAGGTTATGTCGAATGAAAAAGTAGCTATTTAAATAGTAAAGCAGTGATTGGTTCATGAAAAACGAAATCAAGATAAAGAAGAGTCACATGTGACTAAGTGCCACACAACTCATGCCATAACAGTGGCTAATAGAACAGCAACATATTCATAAAGCTTTCCCCCCATTAAGAAGTAAGATCATCATCAGTGGACAACAATCCACTCATAGCACCAGGGCCTCCTACAGCTGCAATTTTGGTCTCTCAAAAATTATCAATACATAAATTTGATCTGACATCTTTTTAGGAACGCCTTATTTGATCATTCAGGCCATATGTCCATCCCTCAGTGCTAGCCTTAGACATTCGGCACCCCCGAGCGATTAGGTCATCTTTCCCCCCTAAAAAAACTAAATTTATTTCTAAAGCTGTTTTATATTATGTAATATTTGAATTTTATTGCATTAAACATTTCTCGAGGTTGCCTCACCTTAAGCCCGGCACTGCCAGCCCCTATTGACTACTTTTAATGGACTAGATTTAGTGTAATATTTAAGGAGGGAAAAGCCATATTTACATATTATAAATAGAATCTTAAATTGAAAATTAATTACAAAAATTACCTGACAGCTGATTTCGGAATAGAGCCATAGATAAGAACACTTAAACCCCTATATAAACCAAATACACCACGGGATTGCACTGTTTTCTTCACACAGTCAATTATTCCATTATATTGTTTTGAACCTTGTTTTGACGTTTTTTCATCTAGCTGTAACTGAGTTTTAACATATTCGGTAGGATATGTTATACATATTTCAATTCCTCCAGTAATCCCACCTATAAAAAGAGAAATATTTTTTTATTTTTTAATAACTTATAAATATAAGGTAAACTTTAACTATGCAAGTATATATATATATATATATATATATTTAATCACCAATGATTTTAAAATAAGCATTGAAATGTTGATCTTCATTACAAAGTCGGCTTTGCACAGTCAAGATTAAATTAAACACACCTTAATTAGAGAATTAAAATGCTTTAGGTAATAAATCAACAAAAGAAATGTATAGATAAATAATTTAAAACAGTCAATTTTGAGTGAAGAGAACTAAATGAACCACAAAACAAAAATGAAATCAGTTTCATTAGCAACAATAGGTCTTTAGTATAATTTAAAAAACAGTGAACCATCACCTCAAGCTTACTAATAAGCTACTATTTATTTAAACATAGTCATTTCAATGTTAATTAAACATTAGTATTTCAATGTTGTTGATGATATGTATATTTCTTCATTAAAAATTAAAATTTAAAACAACACAGACAACAATTCTAAACACACACACACATACAAAAAAAAAAAAAAACTACAACACAACTGTTTATAAAAGTATAATATTAATAATGTACTACTATTTGACATCAACATCAAACATCAATAAAAATTAGATTATCTTACTAACTCTGAACAACTATGATAAAAAAAAAGAATGTCATAAGCAATGCAGGAACAAGTGAATAGAAAGAAAAAATACTAAGAAGAATCACATTTTTAGGATTTTTTTATTACATGGAATTGGTTACATAGAAAGGAGCATCAACTATTGTTCGAAGGACTTTTGAATGGAAGGATTGGATGCGTTTGATGTTAGAAAATTTTGCTGTTCCCCACAGTTCTAGTCCGTAAGTCCAAATTGGTTTCAGCATTGTCTTGTAGATCAGTAACTTGTTTTCAAAAGAAAGCTTAGATTTTCTGTTTTATAGTCTCTTTAGTTGGCCGTATCGTCGCTTAAGTTTCTGTCTTTTAAGTCTCGTATGAGGGTTCCACATTAGTTGTCTCTCTAAGAGAAAGCCAAGATACAAGACTGTATCTGAGAAAGAAAGTTGCATGGTGTTAAAATAAACTGGTGGACATGATTTATGACAAAGGGTGAAGAAAATGTGTTTACATTAGGATTCGTTTAGCTTACGATGCGTCATTTCTTACACCAGTGTTCAATAAGGGATACGTGCATTTGTAGGTTTGATGACGATGTTTTAGGATCTGGGTTGAAAGGATAGCGGTATAATCAGCGAATGTTGCCAGGAGGGTATCGGGATGGACAGGAATATCTGCGGTAAAAAGAATGTAAAGGATGGGACCCAAGACACTGCCGTGCAAAACTCCTGCCTCAATTAAATAACAGTCGGAGAACTCAGTACCACATCGAACTTGAAAGGAGCAGTCAAAGAGATAGGATCGGAATATTAGATATAAGGACTGTGGTAGATGGAATTTAAGCTTTAAGAGCAGTCCAGCGTGCCATACCTGGTCGAAAGCCTGTGCTATGTCCAGAAATGCACCTGAACAATATTGTTTCTTTTCAAGGGTTGAGGATATATAGTCAACAACTCGGAGTCCTTGCTGGGTAGTGGAATGTTAGGGACAAAATCTGAATTGATGGGTAGGAATTTTATGGGATTCTATTATGGGTAGGATTCTTTTCAAAACTTTTTTTGGAATAGAATAGAATAGAAAATAATTTTATTCTGGGACGAAGTCCCTTCAGAATAACAAAAAAGTACAGAAATTAAAATTTTACATCTGGCCAGATAAAAACAAACATAAAAAGTAAAGATAAAGATAAATCAGAAAAAAAACAAAAAAAAATATTAGTTATACATAATATATACAAAATAAAATAAAATAATCTATATACAAAACTCTCGAAACCATACTAAGATACTTAAAACTATGTACAATAGTAAAATATAAATAAACCCTTTTAGAAAAAATACAAAAAAAAAATAAATGTAAATTCTTCTTAACAGTAAAATCTGTTTTTCTGTTGAAAAAAAAAAAAATAAAAAAAAAATATGTAATTTTACATAAAAGGTTAGCTGGTATCTGACTGTTTTTGGAACAGGAATCGGAATAGGAGGGTTTTGAATGTAGATAGGGATAAAGAATGTCGGATTTTGATAGGAAGGGAATTCCAAAAATTAACAGAGCGAGCAATAAAGGAGTTTTGGAACGAGGCAGATCTGTGAGAAGGAATGTAAAGGTCGGAAGGTCGAGATCTTGTGGAGAGGGAGTGGATTGAGGACTTGAATTGGAGAAGATTGTAGGCGTAGGAAGGACGATGAATGTTGATGATATGATAGAGGAATGTACCTAGGAAATATTGTCTTCGAATGGAGGGGAAGAGCCACTCTAACTCAGTGTAGTGGTGAGAGACATGGTAGTATCTCGGGGCACCAATTACAAATCTCATGCAACTGTTCATTAATTTTTTCAGTCTGTTGCGGAGCTCCACCGAGAGTCCATCATACACCACACAGCTGTAGTCAAAGTGGGGGAAGATGAGAGAGGAAACGAGGAGTCTACGCGTATGTTGAGGTAGGAGATGGCGGAAGCGATGGAATAGTTTGAGGGTAGAAATTGTCCGTCGGGAGATGTGAGAAATATGGTGATTCCAGGAGAGGATTTGATCAACAAATAGTGCTAAATTTTTGACAGAGGAGTAGAAGGAGATTGGCTGGTCACCAAGGTTTAGTATGGGAAAGTCGGTATAGGATCTAAGGAGGGGATTGGAACCAATGACAATGGCCTGAGTTTTTGAAGCATTTAACCTTAATCCGTTTAAGTTTGCCCAGGCACAGATTCGATCTAGGTCTGCTTGGATCTTAGTAAATGCCACCAATAGCTCAGGGGGAGAAAAGCATAGGTATATTTGAGAATCGTCTGCATAAAGGTGGTGGGAACAATTGGGATATATGGGATTTATAGGATAATCCAAGGGGGATAGGATGGGATTTATAGGATTGGGAGTAGGCTAATTGGTCTATAGGATGATGTATTGTTGGCAGGTTTGCCTGGTTTCAGGAAGATCTTAAGATGCAACTATAAATATATGTAAGGAATACGATAGCTTTGGGTGGAAGTTGTCGAAGGGATCCTTCTGTGGGGTTAGGTGGTCGTACCCAGGAGATTTATGAATGTTAAGTTTCATTATATTTTGTATGAGGATAATGAATGTAATCCAAGTCTAACCTTGGTGCATAGACATTATAGTTTATATGATTATTTGAAAAAATGCTCTAATTTGACAAATTTCACTGTCAGTAAATTGCTCAAAAACTGATAAGATTAACTTGACGTGATTCAATATGGTGTCCAAAAATTTTAAAATTAACCAGATTAAATAAAAAAATTAAGATAAGACTGACTTGGTAATACTCCCATGCATTTAAAAAACTAGTGGTTCCATCCATAAGTATCACAGTTCACAACCATTTATATAAAGCTTTCGATAGAATATCGTAGTATAGAATAATTGATTAAATAAATCAATTAAACAACCTTAAACCCATTCAAAAAACCTGTATAATGTGAAAGTGTCTCTTTTTTTTCTTTTTAGACCATAAAAAAAGTAAGAAGACAACATGAATTATCAACCTTCTTAACTGTGACACACAAATCCCACTCTTTTTTTTTTTTGAATTGGGGATACAGATTCATTAGTGTCATTAGAGGAATGTTTATAAAATAATGTTAATACTGTTTTACTCAGTATTTTTTTAATAAATGAAAATTTAGAAATCTGAACATTCATTACATTAATTTTTATTTCAATCCTTGCTTTTAACACAACACCCACTGCAGTAGCATATATAAGATTGGCGCATGAACTACCCCCACCTCCCTCTCCAAAAATTGTATTACTCACCTCTTCTTAAAAACAGTGCAAGCGAAAGTAGGACTAGACAAATTGTAGATCATATAGAATTACATTTGCGGTGATCTGTCCCCTATTTTCCTCCTAGTTCTCTTTTTGACACTTTTCACTCCAAAAATTCATAATCTCGTCGAAATGTGACCACCTCAAAAATTGAAACCCAGTCAAATGTGCCCCCTTCAAAAATTTTGAAGCCCCCATGAAACCATTGAAGAGTCATGAAACCCTCTCCTGGGCACCACTGGTGGAGCTTACACAACTGAGGTAAGCTCACATTAGTAGATGTATATGTATTATTATGTAAAAAGAGAACATTGCTAGTTTATTGCACAAAGTCACTAATTGTAAGTACATTTTTGATGAAGCTGAACTTTTAACAACATTATTGTTAATTTCAACGTTATTTATCTATTTTTAAAAACACAGCAAGTGCACTAAAATGACACAAACAATAAAATAAAGTTACAATAATGGCACATTTTTCTGATTTTACAAATTTTAAGGAAAATTCGCCAAAGTTCTTAGAGATTTAAAGCTTTCAGTGACTACTAGATTATCAGGTTATGAAATTTCGCAATAAGGGCCCAATGTTCGAAATATGACAACAACAAAATTATTTCTCTATACAATTAATATTAACATTATATTGTTTAGTTTTTGGTTGGATTTGAATTGAAAAAAAAAATAGAAAATGGAAATAATTTAAAACAAACTTAAATAATCGCTAAACCTACTGAACATTTATAAAATCGTCGTGAATTAAAAATTTTGAATAATTAAGAAAATTATTTTAAAAAGTGAAAATACAGAAAATATTTCAAATGTAAAAAATAATCACCTTTAAATGTATTAAATGTGGCAGCATTTTCCTTGAAAATCCTACTTTTTTTCAAAATGATAGCGTCTTCAAGTTGCTGAGTAATGTTTAACGCCTTATCTACCCAAAGGCATAAAAGGCACTTGCCCGTGACCCTATTTGGTAAGTGGAAGAACTATAGAGAAATTATTTTTTTAAATTCAAAAGAATTTATTCTATAAGTATAAAAAACAAGGAGAGACATACTAAAGATATTTTGAACGACTCAGCCGATTAGAATAAACCTTATGTTTCTC